AGACCCTCTTTACTCACCACTGTAGTTCACTGACAGATCATGTAGAAACACAAAGACAGGTGAAGTCCATGTAGGAACAGAGAGCTGAGAGATCTGAAAAGCTGAAAACACCAGTTAGAGTATAGAAATGTATCTTATATGCTCTGTAATGTTTTCAGATGGTGAGTTTTGTGTCATTAACAATGTTTGTTGCTGTGTTTCCACCTGCAGGCTGTGTTGAGTCTCCACCGTCTGCTCAGCCATGCAGCTCTTCAGCTTCTGGGTCCTAACAGTCCTGACTGCAGTCCTATCAGGTGAGAGTCCTCACTGCTCACACTGCACACTTTCATTAAACAGCCTCACTGACTTACTGAGACTGGACTCAGCTTCACTGGAGCTGCTTCCACATCTTCATCTTTAGAGAGTAAATATATGGAACATAGACTGAGATTAAAGGCTATTAAGCTAGAAACACTTCCACTGTATCTACACTCACTGACCGTGATGCACAGTTTGCCTATAACTGTAAACACTTGTTCTTCTTCAGCAGGTCAGCAGACACTGGCTAACTTCATCGAAACCACATGGAGGGATCTGAATGACCCGGCCACTCTGTACTGTTCACAGCCCTGTTCAGGGGTGGAAACCTGGGAGAAGAATGGAGTGAAAGTGGCCAAATGTGGAGTTAAAGAAGAGTCGGAGTTCAGCTGTGAGAGACACCTGGACAATAGTAGCCTCACCGTTCCTCAGGTTAATTACACCACCAGAGGATTTTATCACGCCAAATGTAGCGGAGAAGTGATCTGCTTCCAGAACCTCCAGCCCAAGCGTGAGTGTTTCAGAGCATTAAACTCTTGTATGACAGTGTATGATACAGTAGTGTTATGGTAGTTTGGTGCTGGTACGACTGGAATTACAAAGATCTCTGCTTGTCTCTCCTGCAGCTCACTACTCTTCTGTTGAAGTACCAGCTGGAGATCCCCTCATCTTGGACCTGTTCACGTTCCATCCAGTGACTCTAACGTTCTCCCGGACTGATGGAGGATCTGTAACCCCTGTCCAGATGTGCACTGTGGATGGACGCTCCGTGCGCTGTAAGGCGGGGTATGAAGACAGAGTGTCAGTGTGTGGTAACTCCATGGTGCTGAGAGACGTGGTGTCTGCTGACTCTGGAGTCTACACGGTCAGAGAGGTCAACGATGGAGCGGCTCTCATACGGACAGTGTCGGTCACTGTTAAACGTAAGTGCTTTTCTGGTGTTCTTGCTGTTTGGGGTCTTTGTGCTGAGTTGACTCTCTGATTAGCCTCTTCACATATACAGCAATCAAAGTTAGTCTTGTTGTTGTTGTTTTGCACATTTAAATAGAAAAGAAAAGAAGTGGTGTTCAGTATTTTGGCCATAATTTGGCCAGACTGCACTATAAATGGTCTTATGTGCCTTAAAGATAAACCTAAACTGTAAAATATTTACATATACACTTATACAATTACATATACTACATAAGCCTTTAAATAGCTCTTCTTCAGTGATCTTCATCAAATCCAAAACTCTGTCCACTTCAGATTCATCAAAATGAAATGTAAACAGTTAGAACAGGTCCTGGTTCTGTAGATCCACCACCCTGGATCTGGACATCCAGATGGCCTTGAAAGCCTTTATTACCTGGATCAGGTGTGTTAGTTTAGGGGTAGAGTTGAACATCTGAGTGCAGTTTCCACTGGAATTTCCTAGTTAGCATTATGAAACATTTAGCTGTTGTGTTTTTTCTGTTTGGCCAAAACTCGTTTTGTGGAAAGAACTGATCTGGATACATTAGTAGGTTTTTGGTTGAGGAGAAACAACTCTAATCTGGAATTATCTTCTCTAGGGTGAACACGTCCTCCAGTCTAACTGAAAACCTTCTTTATACTGAATGTTTTCCAAAATTTGTTATGTTAAAACAGTGATCCACAGGAAATGAAACTCAGGACAATAATCATGTTTTCATGAACAGAGTAAACATTAAACTGTACCACAGCTTTCACTGATCACACCCATCATTGCTCTGATTATCTTATCATACAGTTATGCTGAGTGGACAGATGGTCTTCATCTCTCATCACTCTGACCTTTCATGACCTGAAGACTTTCCTAAAGAGCACTAATCACATTCACCTCTTCTGTTTTGTCTGTTGTCTTCAGATGCTCAGCAGAGCTGGATGTGGAAGGATGAATACCAGCAGGGATTGAAAATCGGAGCACTGGGATTTGGGATTGGAGCACTGGTTCTCGGTGTGATTCTGGGGTTCTATGCTGTGCCGAGGGGGCTTTATTTGATGGACAGATGTTTCCAGAGACTCAGAAGACGAGACTCCTCACGCGTGAATCAAACTGAGGATGTGGAAAAAAGTGTTCCCCTGACATGAGGGAATACCAGCCAATGGAATGCCTGGGATTTATTGGATCTCGGTACAAACAGAATGAATGACCCTCATCACAGGGAAATGACTTTAAATCAATAAAAATGACACTGAAATTTACTTGTTTACTTATTTTTATGTCCCAAATGAGCTGATGCTCTCAAGGCCACTCCACCCATCTGAAGCTGGTGTCTTATTCCCCGACTTCATGTTCAAATTTTCCTGTTCCACCTTAAATGGTGATCAGTAGCGAAAGTAGAAACATGGCTCAGGTCCTAATTTGCTGGTCCAGCCAGTGTCTTTACCATCCAGGATTACAGCTCTTTAACTGGACCCCAGTTTCCAGAATGCACTGGTGCTGCTGTGAAAGTGCTCCTGTTTCTGCAGGGTTTTATTCTCTGTTTGTGAAAGTGCTGAGTATGAGTTTTTTCCATTTTTTTAAAGGTATGAGAGCTATTTGTATCTGCTATTTATTACTGTTATACTCCTCTGTATGAAATAAAGTGTGTATTATCCCATGATTCCCTGGTGTTTCTTCAGTGAACAGCTTTAGCTGAAATGATCAGGACAGTGAAGTGTGACTGATTCTGACCATCTTCACTCTTGAACAGAAATGTAGATTCATCAGACCAGGCCACATTTTTCCAATCTTCAGCTGTCCAGTTTTAGTGAGCCTGTGTCCACTGCAGCCTCAGATTCCTGTTCTTAGCTGACAGGAGGAGAATCTGACCATGGTCTTCCACTGTTGTAGCCCATCCACCTCACTGTTAGATGTGTTGTGCATTCAGAGATGCTTTTCTGATCACATTGTTGTACAGAGTGGTTATTATATGTTTTGAGTCTGCCATACACTGACCACTTAAAGGGGAATTCCACAGATTTTTCAAAATGTCTACATAATTAAATAGTCAAAAAGGTAAACAATGTCATTTGAGTTTTTCTGCTCACTGTAGGTAATAAGTGAGTTGGGGGTTTCACTGTTTTAAGTAACAATTTAAATCCCAGAACTTAAAAAAGGGAATCATCAAATATAAACCTCAGCATTCAAGCCTTTACTTTAACATATTATATTAACACTATTCTTATCATATTATCTGTAAACCATGTATTTATCATATGTACATAATTAACTAAAGGAATAATAAACAAAACGTGAAACAAAATACAAAGTATTTAACAGTCAGTTTATAGTGAGCTGCTACCAGCTGCTGTTTATTTGTAGTAAATTATATCCAGTGATCAGCTGTGTGGCTGCATGTGCAAATCCATAATTCTAATTTGATTCACTTAAATTATTATTATTATTATTATTATTATTATTATTATTATTATTATTATTTATGAGCCCTGTAAACTGTTAATACCTCAACCAGCTGATTAAACACGTACAATCAGGTGAACTCCAGCCTGTTTGGAATGAACACCTGCAGCTACAACGGCGCTTTGAGGATAAGACCGGTGACCCTGTGTTAGACCGTCATGCCTGTCATTTATAGCGTTATACTGCCATCTAGTGGACATTCAAAAGAACAGCATTCCTGCCTTTCCAGTGAATTCCATTCTGCAGTGATGCTTCTTGTTCATTTCTACACTCACTCCCACATTTCTACACTCACTCCCACAGTTCTACACTGACTCCCACATTTCTACACTCATTCCCACATTTCTACACTCACTCCCACATTTCTACACTCATTACCACATTTCTACACGCTCCACATTTCTACACTCATTCCCACATTTCTACACTCATTCCCACATTTCTACACTCACTCCCACATTTCTACACTCATTACCACATTTCTACACTCATTCCCACATTTCTACACTCACTCCCACATTTCTACACTCATTACCACATTTCTACACGCTCCACATTTCTACACTCATTCCCACATTTCTACACTCATTACCACGTTTCTACACGCTCCACATTTATACACTCATTCCCACATTTCTACACTCACTCCCACATTTCTACACCCACTCCCACATTTCTACACTCATTCCCACATTTGTATGTAAAATTATCACATTAGTTGAATTTTTCGTGTTCAAAAACAATATTAGGCTGCTTTGGAGCTCAGAACTGACCATAGACTCTGCTTATACTTTTACTCTGTAGGAAATCTATAAATAAAACCCAATACAGACAGTAGAACAAGCTGACATGAGTCTTTACTGTGCTCAACTTCAGGTTCTCTAAGGTTTCTAGAATGATTTTCAGTAGTTGCACTCAAATAAACTGGAATTCTGGGAATGCTGCGGCCCCTACTTTATAAATACATTTCAATGGAATGAACTGCCATCAGTATGAAAAGTGCTCTATAAGCACATATTATTATTACTATTATTATTATTATTATTATTATTATTATACATTCCCCAACTTCATATGTGGAAAATAGATCTTTTTCCCTTTGTGTACAAAAAAAAAAAAATCCAAAGATTGTTGATTGTTTGTTGAAGACCCTCTTTAGTCCAGTCTTTTCCCTCTTCTTTACTTTCTGTATGCGTTCTTGTGTTTCAGCGCTCCACACTCCATCGGTAGGTGGCGGTAAAGCACCTTACTGTCCTGCAGAGCGTCATTCAGACAGAAGAAGGAGGTTCAGTTTCCCGCCCGAACCGTGAGGGAGAGGAGGTGAGCTGGTGGTCAGTGAGGAGCTCCGAGGAGTAAAGGTCAGAATTAGAGGTCAGTAAACGGGTTTATGCTGAATTAAACTCTAGTTAAACATTATTAGAGGAGCTTCTTTAGAGGCCGTTTTAAGAATTGTGTTGTTGAGCTTCACTCATATAAAACAGTGCTGTGTTATGATTCACACAGAAATACAGATGTTTTACATCATCAGCTGATAATCTGTTAAAAGCGTTTTATCCAAAATTATTACTCATCAATAAACAGCATATTTTTGAAATGACTTTCTTAAAAATCAGGTCTAAAATCAAATCAGTATTATTTAAAATTGTGCGCTTTATTCAGTGGATTATACGGATTATAGTAATAACTGACTCCCTATAATATTGAGTGAAGCTACTCAGAGTCTGAGTGCTGTACTGTAACACTGTACCTGGTGTGATGAGTATTAATGACATCTGGAGCTTCAGTTCTGTAAATTCACATAACCAGACTGTTTATTATTTACATTATTTACATCCTGAAATCACAGTACTGTTATTATTGTTGCGTCTTGAAGTGCTCAGCAGATATAAATGGATATTTAGCTTGTAAAGTTGATGTGTGTTACTGGGACACGAAATGCAGGCAGTGGAACTGAGTATTTGAAACCTGAACAGTTATATAACTTATATAGACAGAACTCTGCAGTTTACACAGCACAGGTATGTTTTTAAAAAGCTCAGACCCAGCCCAGCTATAAAAACCAGCACAGCCAGCGTGCGTTCCCTTTCTGGTGCTTTTTGACATTTTTCAGTTTTTGACATCATTTGAAAATACCTGCTGGTCTTTACATTGTGTGTAAATTTCATGATGAATGGACTGAAAGAAACAGCCCAGAATTCCTTGGTAAAAACTCTGGTCCCATTGACTTCCATTAAAAGTAAAGCATGTTTTTTCCTTCTCCTGTAAAGTTTTGGAGATACGAGGTTTTCTTCCGACAGCAGCGATGTGCTGGTTGAGCTGGTGACCAGCTATGCTGGTTTATACTGTTTTTTCTAGCTGGGATAATCTTTAGTCGTGTCAGCTCTGCAGCACCAGACAGCACTGACCTCACATACGATCTTTAACAGCACATTTCACTTTAAACTCTTCCATTTTTCAGGATCCAGACAGCTTTTCCAGCTTGATGATTGACTGATGTCCATTACTGTCCATAATGGAGGATCCAGTTCACTTTTTTAAATGTAAAGAGGATTCCAGCTGCAGACCCAGGTCTCAGCACAGAAATGGAGCAGAAAGCAGCTCGAGGCTGTTTCACCATTGTATTTGGAGCACCAGCAGTGACCGTCAGCCAGGACAGATGGAGAATCACTGTTCAGACAGGCTTATTCAGCCTGAGGCTTGTTGGAGTAGCTGTGGACGAGGTTCACGCAGCTGTTCAGTGGTGAGTACATGTACTTATGGGTTTCTAATGTTATTGTTGTTGGCTGTTATTAACTGGTGTCCTTTTCGTTTTTCTCTGGTGGGTGTGACCACCGTTTAGCTCAAATACAAATCAGAGTGCCTCGCCCTCTGCCTTAAAGAGGCATTGGTTTGATTTAGGCAGAGGTTCTTCAACATAAGGAGGGAGTCTCTGGTTTAATTCTGCTTTGACCCAATTTTAGCCCAGTGGTCCCTGGATGTTCTTATTCAGAGTGTAGCTCTGTGAGGTTACTCTCGTATGGCTGTATAGTATGATGACAGAGAGTCCTGGAACAGATGTGTCCCTGTGGGAAATTGAAGGCACCCTTACACATCAGCACAGACGCTGCGTTCAGAATCGCTCCCTATAACAGAGATAATGCGCTATATAGTGTCAGCCATTTTCTAGTGTTGTTCAAAATCTCAGCTGTAAATTTCACTCCCTAAGTAGTTCACTATCGAATACCCATAATGCATTGCAAGCTTTAGTACACAGCAGAGGGCACCACAGGGCAATTTTTAATACAAACGTAGGATGATATTATATTAACTACCAAAAGTAATGACATTTATGAGCTGTGACTGTATGAATTTACGGCAGCTAGTTAATGTGTTTTGCTTGCTCACCCTAAAGCAGAGGTCACTAATAGGTGGACCGCAGTCCGAGTCCGGACCCAGACGCTGTCCTATGCAGACCTGGACCTGTAACCGATAAACTATGGAGAATTATTTAACTTGGGGTGGTCCTCATTTAGTCCGCGTACCTTTTCTAGCCATTACAGTACCGGTTTAGCAGCCCGGAGACTCACAGACTAATCGGATGCGTTGTAAATATCACATGTGATGCTACTCAGCCAATCAGATCTATGCATTATGATGAGCACTGAGTCTCGAGTGAGTGACGCTCACACAGGGGAGTGATGAGGCGAGACACAGCAGTCAGAGAGGAAAGTGAGTCAGAGAGAAGTTATTTCACATGGCGTGATCTAAAAAGAGAAAACTGATGATAAACGTTGTTGAAATATGACTGAACTGTACTTTATTTGATTGGACATTCAGTTGCTGACTGTATAAGATGCTGATATACCTACTAGGCTCCTTCAGTAAACAGTATATGGCACTGAATCATGATGTAAGTTAGACGTTATGATGTTCTGGACCTTTGCTTGATGAAATTTTCTCTAACTGGACCTTACTGAACTTTAATTAAAGACCCCTGATCGAAAGTTTTACCTCAGCATCCTCTGATGGTCAAAATCGCTCCATTAGAGAAGTGGAACAGCTGATGTTCATCATGATCCTGTATCTCTCTGTGCCCTCATTAATTATAGCTGCTAGTAATGAACGTCTGCAAATAATCTAAGGTAAATAAATACACAGTTCATGTAGTGACATTATTGGAAGGAATCACATGTTCAAACAGCTTTCCACCAAAATGTCCATCTATAGGGCTGCATGCTGACAGGTGGTGGCAGTTCCCCAAAGAATAATGTGTTTCTATCACATTTTCTTAGTCTCAGAAGAGTAAAGAGTCTTTGATGGCCGATTTCTGAATTATTTGTGAACTAAACTCTCGTCAGGAGAAAAGAGAAGCTTAACATAAACATTGCAAGACGTTCTGTAGTTAACTGTATTTTACCTGACTGAAGTGTAATAATAAACTTTGGAGTTTATTTCAAAATCTACTGTCCTGTTTATCAAACCTTTCTACACAAACATGGAGTCAGCTTTCTTATTCCAAATTCACGTTCCACCTTAAATGGTGCCGTTCAGTGATTACATTCTGGGATGTTGGGGTTCAGCATGTAACTGGTGCAGCATTTAAAGTGGAACAGAAAAATAGACGACAGTGAACAGGATTTTTGACTTGTCTATGGAAAAACTAGGCCTCAGATATGAGGCAGCATTCATAACCATTTCAGAAAGTTTCTCTAGAACAGAGCATTTCACACCAAACTGCTCTGAATAAACACTTAATGAATTTAATGTAGATTAACAGAAAGTAAGTAATAAGAAGGATAACAAGTCATTATTTTGAGAAGTCATAATTAAAAAGTTCAAAGCCAAACATCAGAAATAATAAGTCAAAATTTTGACAAACTCCTGCCAAAAATTGAGAACATTTTGTTCTACCTGGTGGGAATTGGTTTCCATAGTTACTCCAGTCATCACAAAAAAAAAACAAAACAAGAACTGACACAAGAAATGAAAAGAAACAAGAAATGTTCTGCTTGCATAAATATTCACACCCCTCTGCTTCAAACACACACATATGGAACAAAAACAATCTTCAAGGCTTTTTCTTAATTTATTTGGGAATTAGACAATAACTAGTGTCCAGGATTAGTTAGGACTACTAAAGTCTGCCGTGTACATAGAAAGGAAGTCTTTGGGATCTTTGTACAGTGGAAACTTGAACCAGGAGAACCTTATATAAAATATAACAGACCCACTTTGAGACTGAGTGTGTTCATGAGGAGTGGAAGGAAAACTAGTTCCTGTACAATCACAGCAGTTATTAAAGCATTTTTCACTTATTCAGTGCGTAAATTAATTTTCTGAGCACACGTTAAAGTAACTGTTTAAATAAAGCACTTGGTGTTGATTTTTAAATGTGGGGGTTTATGTTGTGAAGGATCCTCCAAGCGAGAAGGGTCTGGCTGCAGACTTGCGCTCTCAGCCTGACCTGCACTCTAGGAGGTTGTAACAACATAAGTCAATGTAGTACCGATTACTTCATAACAGCCTCTTCTCAGTGTTGTTACAACCTCCTAGACAGTTGTCAGACAAGGTCATCACAACTTCCTGAGGAATCACATTTCAACGTTGTGACAGTGTAGAAAAGCTCCAAGCAGACGACGCTGCGGGTCACAACGTAACTGTGTCTGCAGGGCCGTTATAAATGAAACCTGATGGTTTTGCTTCCTAACAGGAATTGGCTTGATGGTTGCTGTTAGAGGCCATTAGGAAACGATCAAATGTATGTGGAATCAGCCCCAGAAGACCTGATTAAACGATCAGAATCCTTTACACTGTGATATCAACCATTCAGGAAAACACAGAACACCATTAGCGACTACTGAAAACCACCAGGAACCAACAGACACTTTTAATGGGTTCTATGATTTTTTTCAACAGGGAGGTGCATTAAATGTAACTCTCTAGCTGTGTTATGGATGAAAAAAGGATTAAGTGTTGATGTCGCTAAGCAGCAGCAGCCAAAAGTCCCCGAGCCATTGGGCCACTTCCTGTTGTGGTGGCAGAGAGTGCATGTGCACGTGACATCACTGGGGCTGAGAGTGCAGGTCTGCAGACCCTATTGTGCTGCAAGCTGTACTTCTCTCTGTACTTCACACTTCCTGAGCTGACATTTAAAGTAACACTTACAAAGAAAGATAAAACAACAGAAAACCAGACTTCAGACTGCTACAGGGTGAGTAATCTGCAGATAGCACTGCTACACCACACTAGTGTTGAGTTTAAAGCGCAGTTAAACGCTGTTTATGTGGTAAATACACAGCGCTTTGTTTACTTCATCTCCTGCTGAACCGTTGTTTACAAACATGTCAGACACGCTATGAAGAGCTCGGAGCTCTCAGTGCAGAATAGTGACTTAGTGTTACACCACAATCACAACACTGTACAGTACTCACTGTTATACATCACTATTATGATTATTATTACATTAGATTAGACTCTTTTATTGTCCTCCAAAGAGGACACTGTTTTCACAGTCTGTACCATTTGTACATTGTGTTGGGACAAACAGCAGTCAGACATTAGAAATGCATAAATACATTTATATAAACATAAAATCAGACTTAAGTACAAGCAGCCCCACCCATAAAGCACCAGCATTCCATCTGGAGTGTTCTTGAAGCTGCGACTGACGACCTAGTCAAAGTGACCGACACTGTGTCATCAGTTTCTGTAAAGAAGTGTGTTTATAAATATACAGCCTCATGTTGCTCGTGTGCTGTATATGTCACATATTGTGTATTGCATTTAAAACTAGAGACACCAATGGTTGTACACAAATCCTTGCCCAGTAATTCTGATTGTGACAGGGCCTGTGTGCCCATTACTGCATTTAAAAGTAGGCATTGTGAAGCATCATTTTAAGTGGAGTAGCTTGTTAGAGGCTGATATGAGTGAAGATATAAAACTTTTTGCAAGGTGGGCTTTTTTACATGCTATTGTTCTGTATGTGTGGCGTGATGGGAGCAAGGTGAAGAAACAGTGCTGTGGAGTGTATCAGGGTCTTGTGCTTCTCTAAGAGACCTTCTTAAATAGTCTTATTGTTGAGGTTTGCCAAGTTGTAAGCCCTGTGATATTTGAGCTGCTGTGTGTAATGTGTGACTTGATCTTTAAGAAACAGCAAGGATTTATTTCAGCGCTGGGTTCAGCCAGTGTGATGTTTCAGATTTGGTGGGTAAAGTTGTTTACTGTAAAAGAGATGAAGTACCAGTAAGATTCCTGTGATCATACTTAGTCATAAAATGAATAAAACAATAACTCAGACTAGAAGTCTGATTATTAATACCCGCCCTGCCCGATTCGACCACTAATCATGTTCACCTGTGACCGCAAAATCTAGTGTGATTCTTGTCCACTCCTGCCCACAAAACCAAGCACCATTTTTGCACCTGCACCCACCTACTTTGGGCTATGTTTGTGGTCGTCGTCCACTCCCGCCTGCATTTGCTGTAACCTGCTTCACTGATTTAGGACATATCTGTGCAAATCTAATGACACGGCAGAGTCTCCAGACCCATCATGCCTCTGCACACCAGCCGCACAAATAAATGCTTCAATTGAAAATATTTTGTGTGCTTAAGGCAAATCAACACCATGTAAACCTTAATGTGGCACCACACAATGAGCGTCGCGTCACGTGACGTCAGTGTCGACAGACAAGCTTGACATCACTTTTTAAGAATATTGTGTCAGCGTTATATTGTTAGCTAATTGCTCTAAAAGACGTCTGCAAGTCAGCTGAAATTAATTTGAAGCTAAAACAGAGACTGAGGCTGTGAAACAGGTCAAAACGCCAAACATTTCTCATGGGGGAAAAATTCAGTTTGATATTCTGCATAAATATTTACTGTATGCTCTGTAGCTTTGTGTTTTGCTGCTTGTGATTACTATTGGGCTCACTTGCAGCGTGTTTGTTGCTTTTCTGTTTACTTCTACAAGCAGACAATGACTGTCCAAGCCCACCCCACTCAACCAGCCTTAACACCCACCCGCACAAGCCCGCAACCTGTTGACTGTTTATCTACAATAGCCACAGTGCTTCAAAATGAATTCCACCCGCAAATTGTTTAGCAGATCACGTGGGACCTGCAGGTGAACCTGCCTGGTCCAGACCTCTAACTCAGACTCGAGGAGATATTTAAGAAGCTTCAGTTTTGTTCACAAAGGAAATGGGTAAACAGGAAACAGCAGAAACAGTAGAGAGAAAACAGAACCTCAGGTTTAAGACCTTTGGAGTTTCTTTACTTTCATTGCATTAATACATTACAAAGGTTTATCACATTTCTTAGAGAGACTTGTTAGATTAAGTGCTCTGTAGACATTTAGTTGTGTGTTCTGTGTGCAGTGTGATTGGTGTGTCATACATATACAGCAAAACAAGTATAAAAAGAAACGTTTGATTTAGACTTTTTACTACTCGTTCCAGGTGTAACTTTCATAGTTTCTCTGTTGTCTATGCTTTCATACACATCCCAAAACGTTCTCAGATTTTATACAGAAATATCATCAGTGTAAGACAGTGTAAGAAAAAGATGCATTAGAAGTGATTCATAAATAAGTGTGCATAAACAGCTGCTGTTCATCTAAACAGCTTTCAGAGGGAGAACTTTAGAAAACCTAAAATGAGAGAAATTCCTAAAACTGTAAGAATGAAATGGTCATTTCAAAGGTGAACTCTGGAAAAAGTGGAGGAAAAAAATGTATAAAATATATGTAAAAAGTACCAGTGAGGAGTTACGCAATAATGCTGATGGTAGTGCAGTGAAATTTGTTTGTGCTGTAGATCAGAACAGGTGTTTTTGTTTAGGACACTGGATGTAGGTGACTTATTATTCATTGACGTTTGTGTCTTTTTTAGGATTCCTACAGACGGATCAGTAATGCGGTCCTGCAGCTCTGCTCACAGTATCCTGATCTTACTGACCATTACGGTCATTACTGGTAAGTGTACTGTTCTTGTTTTTTCACAGAATGTTTTAACTCTGTAATTTAGACTTTAGTGAAGTGAAACCTCAGCTGAGATACTGATAACACACTCCCTGCAGTGTAGGGATGGGTATCATTGGGAATTCATCAGTACCGATACTTATCGATACCCTTATTGATACTGCTCTCCATAATTTGATGCAAAAACTTGACATGAAAGGATGTGAAAAGATTCAAAGTGAACATGTGAAAAGGCTGTGGTCACCTCCCTACAGTTAAACATAGTAAAAACCACAGGTAACACAAAATCAGTTACCCTGGTTATCACCACAGCTCACACTAAGTCAGAAACTTAGGCTACCTAGAAGTTAGCAATTTATGCTATGCTAACCACCAAATTTTAATTTATTACAGACTCAGAAAATATTTCTGCTTAACCCCAATAAGCTGAATTAGGCTGTCAAAAGATCCTAATTATTATTTTAATTCTGGAAACATGAAACATTTCTGATCAGAACATTTAGACCATCAGGCTATTCTAATAGTTTTAACATGAGGCTGAAATCGACTTCCTATACACCGATTTCTTGTTTGAATTTTCCCAGTCCATCTTCAATGGGGCAGCAGTTGTTATTATTAGAAGGCAGAATGTAACTGTTGCACCATTTAGAGTGGAAAGAGGAAAATTCGACGTTTGTGGATAGGAAGCTTCATAGTTTTAATGCTGCTAGCATTTTTGACAAGGTGATTTAAGCTATTGAAATATCGTACCTAGACTTTTATGTAGAGAACTACCTGTAAATATGTGCTACGGTAGGATGTTTCCACAAGGTAGCACAGCTCGTCAGAACACTGGGAGGCTGCACTGAGGACGCAGGTGCAGCAGCCGCTTTGCTAATGCGAGCACGCTGCCCTGCTTCAGATTTATACAGTGTGTTTGTGTTTTACGAGGTTGCTGGTGTTACTACATTTACATGCAGCTACCGCTTTAAACATTGTGGTGTAGCCACGCTGTGGTGTAAGGTGTCCAGTCAGAAAAGAAATGTTTAATTTTGGCCACCATAGTTTCTCTTTCACTGGGACTTTTAGAAGAAGAGCCTGAATATGGATTGGGTGGTGGAATCTGGGAGAAGGAAAAAAGCTAGCGCAGGCGTTTGTTTTTAGCCTCTAGCTACGGGAGGCTGTTAGTTTTCCTGGCTGTCCGTGCTGATTTGTAGAGTTGGACTAAAAAGCTTCAGCTATGGCCCAGACCCCCGACTCCACTGAGACTCATGAAGAGAACCTGAACATCACAAATAATATCACTTAGCTGCATCATCATTGAATTTAGTTAAGTGAGCCCACTTTTTGAATGTCTTACACTTTCATCTGTGACAGAGAGCACAGAATAACACTCAGCATTTGAAATGGTTAACGTAGTCAGAGGCATGTGAACACTTTCATAACATGGAGCAAAATAAAGAGAAAAGTAAATCAAAGAAGCCCCAAACATTGTAGCAGATGTGCTTTAATGTTGGCAATTCCTTCCACCAAAAATGTGCTACACTTTTGCATTGCAGAGCCATAAAACTGTGTCAATATCAGGTTGAGCTCAGCTTTTCCAGTGTTTTCCAGATGAAGCTGAATGTGGTTTTGTTCCATTCAGTCTGTAAAGCCTTTCACAGCCCATCTTGTTCTCTGAATTGGGATCTGTTGGTTTCTGGCCGATTTCATTTTGTTTAGATGTTCTATCACAGCTGCTGACCAAAAAGCTCACTTGGGATCAGTGACTGGTTCGGAATATGATGTAGTTGTGTGGTCACTCCTTTCTTCAGAATCTGACCAAATATTGTCTTAAAGAAGTTATCTAATGTGTCCAATTTCTGTTTTTGTATGTGCTGAAGTACAAACATACTAACGGTTGGCTGCAGCATAAAGCCAGTCCTCAAAGTCCACACACATAAAATACCAAATTTAAACATAAACCTATATCAGCCAGTATCAGGTATTGCAATTTTTAGCCCCATAAAAACAGTATTGGTCACAATTTATGTATAAATAAAAAAACAAACATACCCAATGCCAACTGCAGACTGAGTGTAAAATATAGAAATGTGTTGCCATTTTAGTTCTTCAGTTTTCACTGGAGTTTAATCAAATCACTATAGATCTATTTGTAAGTAGTAAGAACAATGAACCAATATTCTAACCTAACTAACCACTTCTTACACGGTTATTACACCAATTTTTAACTCTCCTTTTCTGATTCTCTCTTTCAGTGTCTGAATCAGCTGTTACTGTGGTGAAGGTGAATCTTCATGACTCTGCTACTCTGTCCTGCTCTGAGAGATGTTCTGGTTTGGTCAGATGGACTGTGTACCACAACCCTGATGATGTTCTGGCTGAGTGTGATCAGACTTCATGTAGATCAGTGAAGGAGGGATATCAGATGATCCATGATCAGTACCTGAAGGGAGATCTCTCTCTCATCATCACTGAGGCTGATTTCACTAAGAGGGACACGTACACATGCGACTGTGATTATCTAGACGTCTGTGATGTGACTCTACAGGTTGAGTGTAAGTGTCCATCTGTTTTATCAGTGATGAAACTCCAGATTTAAGTGGAGTTATTTAAGACTGCTATTGTGGGAAACCCTAGTGATATCCTTATGATTGTAGCTCCAGTTGTTTCCCTCAGATTAGATACACGTAATGATAAGCTCACAGAAACGTTCACATGAACCTGAAGGTGATAGGTGGTTGTGTTTAGAATCTTATTGGGCCAAAAACCATCCAAAATCACCTTTTCAAATGCATTCAAAAAGAGTTTACGTAATGCTGGAGAAAAATAAATCACTCAAGAAAAAAACCATTGACTAAATGCTCAAAAAGATAAACTGATTTAAAATAATAAAATTAAAAAAAAAAAAAAATATATATATATATATATAATGTATCATAAGTGCATGGCTGTGAGTGCTAGAGAGGATTGCATCTTCTCTTAGTGCAAATGTAACAGTAACCACACAAAATCCAGTAATCCAGGCTATGATATTGTGCAGTGCTCTAATGACTGTAATGGTATGCTGCGCTATTCTGTAATAACCATGATTTAAGTGCAGTGATTGGATCAGATTTGCCCTTAATTAACAAAGCTCCTGATTGTTTTCCTCCTCAGTTTTGAAGACTCCAGTTCAGATAGAGTCTGGTGACTCTCTGGTGCTGGATTTGGACCTTTCAGATCCAGTGAAGGTGATTTATAACAGCACAGCTGTATATGGACCACCCAGTGGTCCCATATGTACAGTACATAGACGCTCACTGCAGTGTAAACCTGAATACACACAGAGAGCGTCACTAACATCTGGTTTTGAGCTGAGAGGAATGACTCCATCTGATAGTGGAGTTTACACCATCTGGGACACCAAGAATAAAGAAATGATTCATGTCTACACAGTGACCGTCCAAGGTACGTCTTCAGTGTTGCTGATACACCTTAATCAGTTAATTATTGCTTTTTATTTTGATTTTGTTAATTTTTAATTTGCATCATTCTTGTGTGTTGTAGATAACCAACAAAGCCTGGACAGAGATCTTAGGTCTGTTGTGCCCATGTGGAAGGTGGTCCTAGCAAAATTTGCCCTTTCAGCTGGACTTGCAGCTTTGTTTGTGGCAATGATATTGCTGTTTGTGCCTTTGCAAAATACTAAGAGTCCCTATGGATGAAAGGAGGAAGGAATTCTCACTAAATGAAACGTGGACTAACACTGCCGTTGGGGAGAGGCCTGCACTGTGGCACAGGAGTGGCCCAGAGAAGACGAAAGGCCCGAGGACTGCTTGTACGTGAACATGTTAGTATAAAATTGTCACGTGCAACTTGGTGGTAAACATTACTGCAGGTCTAATTGTGGAGCCTAATGACCTAAAACCAAGAAATGCACTTACAGTAACATTGCAAATATGTGTTTAATTGGAAACAGTGGGGTGTTGAGCTCTGTTGTTACTAAAGCGTAGCCATTATGGCAGCTGAGGAGGCTGCCAATTTTCAACGCCTGATTTACTGTACCTACAACGAACGTGTCGTCATAGCGTGTCGTCATAGTCGTGTACCTCAAGCTGCAGCTGCCGTATTTATAGAAGACTGTTAGAATCCACTGAGCGCGCTGCCGTTTCAATACGGTGGGGTTTATGTACACGTCACTGCTGATTGGGTAACACCCATCAAACCAGACAAAACAAACCTCAAAGTCTGCTACACACTGTTTCACACCGTTTACACGCAATGTGGTGTTAAACCTGGAAACTAAAGCAGAGCGATGCACGTTTTGAGAGTGAATGTGCCCCAGAGTACCAGTGGGTGGGGTCACCAGCGAGAGTACCTATATATCGTTTTCAACAGCAGCCAGATGTCAGATTCCTGTTGTTAATAACTTTATTACACCAAGCCCCAACTAGAATAACTTGTCTAGCACTTTCAGTGTTAAGGTTCTCACCTTACCAGTTTATTGAAAAGAAATTTCTTCAGATGTTTCTATAGCAGCCTGCAGCAACAGCCTACTGCCCCATGACCAGTGAAAGCTGTGAATAAGGGTGGCTAAATGTAGTCCAAGCTTGAACTGATCAGTATTTGTTTTAGACAGTTTTGTTTCCTTCTATCTGAGGATTCTGTACTGCATAAACAGTAGAGAGTCCAACTGCGCTTTATTATCATCACTGCCTTCTTACCTCTTTCAGACCTTCTAGTCTTAGTGCCTGTTTTGCTGTTACAGTACTGTTATGTTTCATGTAAAAGTACACGAATAAAACATTCTGTATAGTTTACATTGCTGTATTTGTCTCATATTCTTGGAATTTTTTATGCAATTCTGAAATGTTATTTGTTGCACTGAAGCAATGTAATTAGGTATGAAGCCCCTAAGGTGACATGGTGAATGACCATAAAGTAATATGTTGAGGCCATAAATTAATATATTGAGGTCACTAATTAATATATTGAGGCCATTAATTAATATAATCTGCCAATGGGTGAACATAATGAGGCAACAAGTTAATATATTGAGACCAGGAATTAATATATTGAGGCCATTAGAAACTTAACTCATGGCCTCAATATATTAATTCGTGGCCACGCCTTAGTGAAAATAATCACTGTGTTACTTTAGAGCAGGCGTGTCAAACTGGGGCCCTTCCAGGCGAAAGTGCTGTGGAGGTCAGCGTTTACCCTCATCTAACACTCTGAATTGAGTCATGCAGGCCTTCCTAATGAGCTGAACCAGGTGTGTCTCAGGTGTTATATGCACCTGTATGCAAGGACAACACCTGAATCAGGTGCCTTGCATGTAGTCTCCACCATGGTTTGCTGTGCTGCATGGAGATGCTCCAGTTGCTCGGAGAAAGGAGTAAGAATGGTTTTCCCCACTGACACAGAGCAGAGGAACAAAAATCGCTGGCTCAAGTCAGCAGGAGCAGCTACTAAACTACTTACCATCACTAAAGATTACAACAACAAAAATGACACTGTGTCCACACCACTGTGAAAAGCCTAATGTTTTGTTTATTAAAAATAAGGAACAGGGTGAGGGTGCTGTGTCCACTGATTCCCCCATGGTTTTTTGTTTTTTGTTCTGAAAGAAAGTGAGAGAAGGAGAAAAAGACTAAGGAAGGCTGGTCCACTCAGCACTACTGACCTGCAGCATCACTGGCCCTCCACCATGCAGCTCCCAGTTATCTGATTTATAGTCTTCTTGTTATTATTTTACTGCTGGATTTTTGTCCACTAACTCGTCCTGCAGTTTTCGAGATATTGACACTGTTCCAACTTTGGAATGTCCGGTCTGATCAGGAATGGTGTGCCTGTAGACAGCTTCTTAATTCGACTTTCGCTTTTTGAACAATCCTAGTTAAATTACGTTTTTTTTTTTCCCCATAGGAATGAATGGGGTAAAAGTTGCATGTCTGCTGGACTTCTGCTCGACTGAAAGACACTTTTGCATCCACTACCTCAGGGCAGGCCTCCGAGCATGAATTCAATGTTGTTCTGACCTGCACTGTCTTTTTTTTCCCCCTCATCCCACCAAACTGCATGTCCTCACTCAGGGAAGGTCCCCAAGCTCTAATCCACAGTCTTACTGACCCGCACTCCTCTATGGGTCATTTTTTCATCCCTCATACCTCCCATAGAGTCCCATTCATTTTCAACAACATGTAGCTATTGGCAACCCCCTAAAAACATTCAGTAAACAATCCACACATCATAGCAACCGCTTATTCTAGTTATCAGCGGCCTTCGTGGGCAGGGCTAAGAGAGCGCAGACGTGAATGCTGGTCCATTGTTTTAAGCTCATATTTGTGGCTGAAAGTCAAGTCAAGCACTCATTTCTGAGCATGAGGTGGGGTTGTGGAATAAGGTGCAAAGATTATTTAACATGCTGTGATCTGTGAGTAAACGCAGTCACACTTAAGGTTGCTCCTGTGATCCAGATATTTCCTGAAGCCCACCTTTCCACATCTTTAGCACACATACACACCGATCATCACTTGAACCACCCCTTCCTTAATCAAGACTTCAAGGCTTCAAAGATAATTGGAGTAAGTCTTCCTTCAGTTGAGTCTTTATTCTCAGTGCACTCAGGAATCAAAGAGAACAATTACAGATTCTCTCATCCAGCAAACCATCAAACCAACCACTTCCTTCTGGGAGACAGAACAGCTCTTTCAAAACTAAGACAACCCTCTCTAAGAACAGCCTTTTTCCTACTGTGATAAAGTCACTAAACTCTTCTGAGGAGTGTTTATCACTGTCACATCCACTGCAAGTGGTTCCCCTCTGCGCCTACAGAGGTCGCTCTCACCAGAACACTAAGTTCTATCACCTGTCTCTCATTGCTGATCTAGTTTTGTGTACATTTAGACCTCAGCGTTGTTTGTACTGATCATGCCGAGTAGTTCTGAGTGTTATTACTGCTGTTCTGCTTCCCTGGTTTCACTCTTTGCTCTGGACTTTGGTTTTTTGAGTTTTGGATGGTGTTATTGGCTTAAATGCTCTAATGGTTTAAAAACCTGCTCGTCTTCTGCCTCAAAGGTCAGTAATTCTGAGTTTGCTTCAATAAACATACAGCTGACTCCAAACTACAGCTGTGAACTTGTCTGTCTGTGAGATTTCCAGCCTTTGTAAGAGTAAACAGATAGAGCTACTGTGTAATCCACTTTCATTACCCAATTTACAGTTTCCCTCACTGATGCTGCTTAAACCCGTTGCTGTGCTGAATTGAGTGCTGTGTGTTGATTTATTCATTTATTTGTTTTATAATTTGATCAGTTGTAAGATTTGTTTTTGTTTATTTGTTTGTTTTATTTACTTTTGATATGTCATTTTGGGTGGAGTGTTAAGTCTCCAGTGTGAATCTCTTTATGTTTGGGAACTACTGAAAGCTGTATTAGTAATATGAGTGTGTTTGAGATCACAGACAAGCCTTTCTTTGATTCATGATTCAGTGTTATTAACTCTAATAAGGTGTTTTAGTGACACAGTTGGACATTTTAAGCTTATTTAGGGAAGAGTAGTAAGGAGTGGTCTGCTGTTTGGGGCTGGTGGGTCGATCTCAGTGGAAGCAGGTCAGCCCTCTCAGCCTCTCTCTACTCTTCTAGTCTGTGTCCTCCTTATTACTTCTGTGGTGAAAACAGTGAATGTACTGAACACGTTTTCTCCAACTGTGTCCGTTTCAGGAATTTTCAGAATGATGTAGTGAAGGATAATGGACAGACAAATCACAGTATATTCATCTTTTCAACTCCTTGAGACCACCGGTGGTTCCAAAACGCACTTAGTCATATTCTTCATAACTTTCATATTTCATAAGCTACATTCTAAAGGTGGGGGTTGTATGAGGCTGTAACTGTCTTCTTTCCAGTCCAATAGATAATGATGTCATTTTAAACCCTTATAATAAAAGAAGATGAACTCTGTTTTTTTTTCTACTGAAAGTCGACCCATTTTTCCACAAATCTGGGCTGTAAACTATAAACAGATGGTGTCTCTTCAGTGATCTGATCTGTAAACATTATTTTTATAAAATAATACAAAGAGCGTCTAAGATTTTTGGATTTCAGCAGTAAATTGTGAGCATATAGCGATATGTGTATCATAAAACACATGTTCTGTTAATTTGAGGGGATCTTTTAGAAAAAAAAATAATACAATAAAAATTTACATTTATTTCATGCAGTTACTGAATAATTTGCCTTAATATTTGGTCATGTAAACTCAGATGGACAAACCAAAATATACCCTGGAGAATAAGAGGTTAAGGATGGAAAGTTGTGATTGTTTGTTTTATTACTTTTCACATTACTAAAGACTTTTTCTGTGTGAATATTTTGTTCATAAAATCAAATTTAGAATCTTAGCATATTTGAAGACGTTTTAATATGAAATTTAAATATATTTATTGTAAAAGCATCTAAAGTGATGAACATCTTTACAAAATTGAAATGTGTTTGAAGATTGTTATTGTTGTTATTATTATTATTATTATTATTATTATTATTATTAGATTAGTATTTACCTCAGACACGTGTCTGTTTTTATATATTTGTTTTATACTTGTGTATTTCAGTTCTATTTTATATTCTGCTGGTAATTCTCTTATTCTACAGTATACAGTACTGTATCAAATAAAAACTGACCAATCAAAACCAAGAAACACCAAAGAATCTTATCGGTTTGAATATAAGGGAGGGTCACTGCCTCACTGGACTCTGCAGGGTCTGGAAGGATGTAGACGACGGTGAAGCTGATCTGTGAAAACAGACTCACAAACAGAAAACAGAGTTACAGAAAGAGAGAACAGAATCTCTCGTGAGGGACTGTGTGGTGTTACTGGAGATCAGTGAGGTCTTTATGAGAAGCACCGTTCCAGTCAGAGAGAAAGGTGAGTACTCAAACTGCAGTAACGTGTTTTAAACGTGTTTGTGAGTTTGTGGAGACGCTGGACGAGTCTGCTTTTCTTATCTTTATCTAACAGAGTGCTGAGCACTGCTGTCTGTTTCAGATACAGAGCGCTGCCCACTCTGCAGCTTCAGGGGTTAGTTTAACATTAGAGTTACTGCTAAATAGTGTTAATGGTGTTACTCTACCTGTACTGAACTGGTCATGGTTCTGGTGTCATCATGGAGCAGAACTTCCTGTTTTTATTTATATTTATAAAGATCTATTTTTGATATTCGTCCTTTCAGCACTAGCTTTTGATCTGACTGTGGTAGCCAGTGAATGGATGAGGCTGAAGTTGGCTTCCTGTTCATCAGCTTCTTGTTCCAATTTTCCCGTTCCACCTTAAATGGTGCAGCCTTATGTTTCCAGAATGTAGCTGCTGCACCATTTAAGGTGGAACGGGAAAATTGGAACAAGTATCTAACGAATAACAAACTGACTTCAGTTCCTTGTAAGAAGGTGCTAATCTATATTGAATATACGGATTAGGGAATGCTATGAATTACCTACAATGCTTACTCAGCTTTAAGTTACTGTAAATAAATGAATATAATACTACATCAAGTTAAGATCCCCTGTAGGCTAATGAAATAAGCTTAACGTGAAACCAGAGGAACAACAGTCACATCAACAGGTTCTCTGAGCCTCATTAACCACACGGCCATATCTACACCTGAATATCACACAAACATGAGCGTGGATCACTGCGTTCCTATCCTGCTTTCTGAGTGCACTATTGATATCCATGTCATTTTGGTCAGTATCTTTCTTAAATTGCCACTCTGTAATTGTTCTTAATGCAGACCAGCAGCGATGTTGACCTTCCCAAAATTGCAGCACTGGCTGGACCCAACCCAGCATCAAGGTATGTATATCTATGATCGTCTATATGCATCACAATCACTTTTGTGGTTGGTGCATCATTTTTCATACCAGTCAGTGCAGTTTAGGGAAAGCAGAGGGGTTTTTATGTAAGCATCCTGAACCGGTGACCATGAGCTCTTGGCTGTTAAGCTCACATTTGAGGGATGGAGACATTAGTTAGAGGGAGCTGCTCATCCTTTCCTAGTCTAACCAATCATAAGAAATTAGAATACCTCCATTCCGCTAAGTGTTTAAACCTCAACAGGCTTGCTGGTCCCTTCTTCAATTCAGTGTCTCTTATCCTCCTGTTTCACATAATTCAAAAGCTGATGCTTTGCCAAGAATTCACCAGTGTGACTCTGGAAGAGAGGGTCAGTCATTCATCTCTCTCCTGGTGAATTCTGACTCAGCAACTCCTGACTTCACCTGTTCACCTGTGTTTTTAACCAGTCTGTTTGTGCCTTCAGTTTGTGAAGTACCGTCACCTTGTCGTGCGTACCTTAGCTCAGTTTTGGATCTCTGGTTTTCGACTCTCTGTTTTATGACTGTGGTTTTGGATCATCCTTTTGGCATTAAAGCTCTTAACTCTAGACTTGTCTGTGAGCGTCTGGTTCTGTCTGTCACCTTTACAACAAGCAGAGCACAATGGAGTAAAATACACTTTACAAATGATCTGAACTGGATCAAGTTTAACACATCTGATACAAATGGATTAAAAATGTCTGGATCTCTCAGGATCAGGAAATTTCTCATAGGTTTTAAAGAACTGAGAAAGAATTACATCATTTGAAATCGGCCTTTTTGTTTTTCTTACAATAAAAATCTCTAATAAAAACTTTATCTCTCGTTTGCTGCTCCTTTTAATCTCTCTGTCTTCGTTCTCTCTTTCAGTGTCTGAATCAGCTGATCCTACAGTGAGGGTGAATCTTCATGACTCTGCTACTCTGCCGTGCTCTGAGATGGTCAGTACCTGGAGGGAGATCTCTCTCTCTCTCTCTCTCTCTCTCTCACCATCACTGACACTGATAGTGTCTCCCTTCAGGTACTGACCATAGATCGTCTGATATCCCTCCTTTAATCTACATGAAGTCTGATCACACTCAGCCAGAACATCAGTGGGTTTACTGAACACAGACCATTTGACCAAACCAGAACATCTCTCAGAGCAGGGCAGAGTAGCAGAGTCATGAAGATTCACCTTCACTGGAGGATCAGCTGATTCAGACACTGAAAGAGGGAATAAAGAAAAAGAGATTAAAAGGAGCAGCAAACGAGAAAAAGTTTCTATTAGAGATTTTTATTGTAAGAAAAATTAAAGATCAAGTTTGTCACTGTAAAATAGCCGATTTCATAGCCAATAAGAGTGAAGCTTCAGATTGAGCGTCAGTGTCCATCTGTTTCCTTCACTCACTGTGACTCACAGAACTCCACTGATTTCTATATATGGTGTCAGATTTAAATTCTTTGTGATTGTGTCTCTCCTCAGCCTCGAGTACTACAGTTCAGAAAGGGTGGGTATTTGCACTGGTGGTTACTGCACATGTAGCTGTGATTGTGATGTTAGTGGTGAAGAATGTGCAGCTGAGGAGAGAAAATCAGCAGCTCCGGGAGAAGAATAAAGGGAACAGAAAGAAAAAAAGAAGAAAAAAAGAGACGGTCATTCTCCAATACTGTCCAGGAAGTCTGAGAGATAATCAATAATCAACGTCCCCCCCCACACTCCTCTCTCTCTCTCTCTCTCTCTCTCTCTCTCTCTCTCTCTCTCTCTCTCTCTCTCTGTGTGTGTGTGTGTGTGTGTGTGTGTGTGTGTGTGTGTGTGTGTGTGGTTGGTTGATTGAGTATCAGTGTGGAGTGACTATAGAGATTATATAGTGAGGCTGGGAAGAATGTCAATATAAAATATCAACACGCTCTGCTAAAATGTATTATAATAACCAGGGCTGTAATTATTTATGTTTTAGAATATTCTAAAGAAAATTCTCAAATAGTAAAATATGCTATAACAGGAAAGAATCTTAAGATGATTAAATAGTTGTCTTATCGTTATTTAGTGTTACCTTTATTATTATTGTTATTAATGTCAGTATACTGCAAGATAAAGAAAAAACAATTGTTAAACAATTATTATCATAGCAAGCAGCATAAAATCCTGTTCTGGGGTCCGGCTCATGCTGGCGACCCTCAGCAGGTTTTTCTGAGACTGTAGTGAGTCAGTGGTGAGCGGTGAGTAGGAGAGTATTTAAAATCAGACTAACTTAAATTCTTAGCTTTTTGGTCACTTTTGGTCAGCCTCTCAAAAGCACTTTGCACCCAGGCATATGCTAGACTAAGCTGTGTTGGTCTTAAACCCCGGAGCCCCCCATTTCCAAAAAAGTTGCAATGCTGTGCAAACAAGGACAGCATTTCAGATATTTAAATATGCCCATTTTGAATTTGAAGCCATGTTTCAAAAAAGTTAAGACGGGGCAACAAAAGACTGTTAAAGTTGTGTAATGCTAAACAAAACACCTGGTGGAACATCTCACAAACAATTAGATTATTGGCAACAGGTCTGTATCATGATTGGGTGTAAAAGGTTTTAGATGTAAACATAAGGAGGGGTTCAAATAGTGGGATCAAATAGTGGAACAATTCAAGAATAACGTTTCTCAATGTAAAATAGCAAAGAACCTGGGGAATTCTTCATTTACACATAAAACCATTAAAAGATTCAGAGTACCTGGAGAAATCTCTGTATGTATGGTATAAGGCCGAAAACCAATACAGGTTGGTCATAATCTTCGGGGCCACAGGCAGCACTGCATTAAAAATAGACATGATTCTGTAACGGAAATCACTGCATGGGCTCAGAAACACTTCTGAAAACCACTGTCTGTGAAAACAGTTCATCACTGTTTCCACAAATGCAAGTTAAAACTCTAAAACGCAAAGAAGAAACCAAATATAAACAGGACCCAGAAACACTGCCACCTTCTCTGGGCCTGAGCTCATTTTAGATGGACTGAGTGTAAAAGTGTCCTGTGGTCTGATAAATCAAAAGTTTAGATTCTGTTTGGAAATCATGGACACTGTGTCCTCCGGGCTAAAGACCACTCAGCTTGTTATCAGCACAGCCAACATGATGGTATAAGGGTGCATTAGTGCACATGGCATGGGTGACGTGCACATCTGTGAAGGCACCATTAATGTTGAACAATATTTACGTTTTGGCAACATATGCTGCCATTCAGACGATGTCTTTCTCAGCAAGACAATGTCAAACCACATTCTGCATGTATTACAGCAGCATTGCTTCATATTAAAAGAGTCCAGGTGCCAAAGTGACCTGCCTGCAGTCCAGATCTGTCACTGCTGATAACATTTGGCACATTATAAAACCTGAAATACTGTATCACACAAGAATAAGAAAACATTTCACTTTCAAAACTACAGCAGTGTCTCCTCAGTTACCAAACACTTACAGATTGTCAAAGAAGAGGAGGAGAAGAAAAGCTTTAGCAGGAAAAGCTTTAAAAAGATGCAGATGTAAATGTTTCAACCAGTTTAAATACAACATAAGTTCCATAAAACAGCTTGTGGTGTGATTGGTCTAATGAAGTTTCTCCTGAATCTGATTATCTGATTATCTGTAAATATGAATCTGCTAACAGCTCTGGAACGTTTTACTTTAGTGTGACAAAGGAAGAGGATTCATATGTTATTCTTTACAAATCTGTAAAATCTGAAAGACTCATTATTTACTCAGGATTATTGAGAATATATTTGTTATTGTTATTTTGTACTTTAATGTAGACACTGTGTGGTGTGAATTCTTACACTGATGAAGTCTTGGAGTTTTCACTTTACACTGTTGTTCAGTTCTGCTGTAATCAGTTCTCGGTCAGGTGATGGAGGCTGTAATGATGACCTGACTCAGGTGTGTTTACAAACAGAACACAACAACAGTGTGTACTGACTGTGTCCATTAGAGAACCAGAATGTCTGTATATTTTGTCATGGAAAACAAATGTTTGTATTTATGTATAGGTTATGCTTTTCAAATAAACTGAAAACAAGATTTTGTTTTTGGAAAATGTTCATGTCAGCTGAGTGACATACATTTCTGATTTCTTTAACGGGATCATTAAGAGGTTAATAAGACTCAGATGTGTCTGAAGAGGATCTGATAACTCAGATATTTAAAACATCTTTATTATTCTGCAATCCTGTTATGACTTTATTAACACACAGGACATTCCCTCCATATAGTGCAGCTCTATGACGAGTCCTCATTATCAATAATCCTTTCTGTACATTCTTACATTACTGTCCCAAACTGACCCTGATAAGGGACACTAACCAAATGATCTGCACACACTTTACAGTTTGTTTATTATTTGATCTGCAGGAGACTTTCAGTACAGCATGGTTAACAGGAGGAATTATTTTCATTGCTTAAATATTAAAAGCAACTGAGCTGCTGAAACAAGACAAACAGAAGAGAAAGAGAGCAGCCAATGCTGGAAGAGCAGAGTGAAGTGTGGAGGAACAAACCAGTCATGATGTAAACCACACCACCTATACAACACACAGTACCCCCCACCCCCACCCCCACCCCCAAACATTACTGAGACTGTACTTAGACCCCTGAAGACTAGACTGAAGGAAGTGTATGGTGTAGTACAACATTCAATTCAGTACAACACAGTTTAAATTCTACATGCTGTAGTTAGTTATAATATTAAGATTCTCTTCAGTGCATTTGGTTTGACAAATTTAGGCCCTTCAGTAAAGAAGCTGTTGCTTTTTTTTATTAATGAAAAAGAATTTAAGAATTCTCGTCTCGCTTGCAGTGTTTACTGTCTGTGTGGAGTTTGCCTGTTCTCCCCGTGTCTGCGTGGGTTTCCTCTGGGTACTCCGGTTTCCTCCCACAGTCCAAAAACATGCAGACATGCTGAATTGCCCCTAGGTGTGAGTGAGTGTGTAACTGTGTATGTCTGTCTGTCTGCCCTGCGATGGACTGGCGACCTGTCCAGGGTGTATCCTGCCTTCCGCCCAGTGACAGCTGGGATAGGCTCCAGCACTTTTAGATGATGTATTTATGTATTTGGTTTTAAAATGCTAGGCCCTGCAGTTAAGACGTTATTAAATTTTTGATGTTTAACAAATTAATTAAAATTAAGCCCTAAAGTCCATTCAAATTTGGCTTGCTGTCGTTGCTTGCAATAATAAGAATTATTAACCTCTTTAATGCATTTGGTTTTACAATTTTGGCTCCTACAGTTTAGAAACTATTTACTTTATATGTAAATACTGATATGAGTAGGATGAGTTTGTAGAGGACGGCATTAGTAATGAGTGATTAGTGATTATCTCAGTATTAATGAAGGAGGACCTGTTGAAACAAACTCACCTTCAGAGACTGTTATGTGGACAAAACAACCCACAGCGCTTTGTGGAAAATGGACGCTCTACTAATTATGATATCTAATGAAACTGCATTGTTTGAACACCAAACTATCAGCTCAGTGAACGATCCACTCCAGCATAGAATATCTTTAAGTAACATTCAACTAAATATCCATTAAATTGGAGTTGCACTGGAGCCACACTTGTATAATCTGAGACTTTACACACCTGCTTTAATGAGCTTCTCACTTTGCTGCACTGCAGAAATGTCTGACTGCAAGTTCATTTTTTCTCCAAATCTCCAAACGTACTGAAGTAGAAATAGAAAATACCTTGCTGAAAAAAACATGTGTCCCCCAAAAGGGGCTTTTCAGAGTTTGACAGTGAAGTGCATGAATAGAGAAGCTTCAGTTAAGAGTGTTAGTGGAAGCTTCTAAAGCTCTGCAGATGACCAGTAGACAGATCTGGAGTCTCCACACACACATACACTATATTGCCAAAAGTATTCAGTCACCCATCCAAATCATTGAATTCAGGTGTTCCAATCGCTTCCATGGCCACAGGTGTATAAAACCAAGCACCCAGGCCTGCAGACTGCTTCTACAGACATTAGTGAAAGAATGTGTCGCTCTCAGGAGCTCAGTGAACTCCAGCGTGGTGCCGTGATAGGACGCCACCTGTGCAACAAGTCCAGTCGTGAAATTTCCTCACTACTAAATATTCCACAGTCAACTGTCAGTGGGATTATAACAAAGTGGAAGCGTTTGGGAACGACAGCAACTCAGCCACGAAATAGTCGGCCACGTAAAATGACAGAGCGGGGTCAGCGGATGCTGAGGCGCATAGTGCGCAGAGGTCGCCAACTTTCTGCTGTCAATCGCTACAGACCTCCAGACTTCATGTGACCTTCAGATTAGCTCAAGAACAGCATAGAGAGCTTCATGGAATGGGTTTCCATGGCCAAGCAGCTGCATCCAAGCCTTACATCACCAAGCGCAATGCAAAGCGTCGAATGCAGTGGTGTAAAGCGCCGCCACTGGACTCTAGAGCAGTGGAGATGTGTTCTCTGGAGTGACCAATCACGCTTCTCCGTCTGGCAATCCGATGGACGAGTCTGGGGTTGGTGGTTGCCAGGAGAACGGTACTTGTTTGACTGCATTGTGCCAAGTGTAAAGTTTGGTGGAGGGGGGATTATGGTGAGGGGTTGTTTTTCAGGAGTTGGGCTCGGCCCCTTAGTTCCAGTGAAAGGAGCTCTTAATGCTTCAGCATCAAGAGATTTTGGACAATTTCATGGTCCCAACTTTGTGGGAACAGTTTGGGGAGTTTGGCCCCTTCCTGTTCCAACATGACTGCGCACCAGTGCACGAAGCAAGGTCCATAAAGACATGGATGAGCGAGTTTGGTGTGGAAGAACTTGACTGGCCTGCACTCAGATACCTCAACCCGATAGAACACCTTTGGGATGAATTAGAGCGGAGACTGTGAGTCAGGCCTTCTCGTCCAACATCAGTGTCTGACCTCACAAATGCGCTTCTGGAAGAATGGTCAAAAATTCCCATAAACACTCCTAAACCTTGTGGAAAGCCTTCCCAGAAGAGTCGAATGTTATAGCTGCAAAGGGTGGACCGACATCATATTAAACCCCATGGATTAAGAATGGGATCTCACTCAGGTTCATATGCGTGTGAAGGCAGACGACCGAATACTTTTGGCAATATAGTGTACATATAAACAACCACTCTCACATACATGTCTCATGAGTGGAGAAGCAAGAGAGAGAGAGCAAGAGAAAGAAAAGAAAGAGAGGATGATCAAGAATGATCTTAGACTGCTCCCTGGTCATTACTGTGCTGTGCCAGTCTCTGCTGTTCTTCTGCCCCTTGATTACCCAGTCCATTCTTCTGAACGTGGGTATTTCCAGTGATATCCGGTCCTTTTGGAGGCTGTGGATTTTTCCTCGTCAGCTGCACAATCACCACCACTAATATCACACACACAGTGAGAAGCACAGCCACTGATACACTCCGCAGTGGAACCGTCCACCCAGACTGAGCAGCTCCCTGATCTCTGCACACACACGGCTGAACATCTACAAACCAAACACACACAAAGATGTACGGTGAGCTTCATTCACACTGTTTAACTCCAGGAAAGTCTGTTTATGCAGCTCCAGATAAAAGAGTGGATACATCCACTTTTAAAAAAACTAAAGACAACATCAAAGCTATAAATAACATATGGAATTATGCAGTAAATAAATGTGTTAAATCAATACAGCCTTGACTCCTTTGCCTTCATGCAGCTTTACACACTCTTAGAGTTCTCCAGGCAGCTTCACGAGGAACCACCTGCTTTACCAACAGGACTGAGGTACCCAAACTTTTGACTGGTAGTGTAAACCATGCAGCATCATATTTTAGATTATACTGTGCAGAAACAGAACTGCAGTGACAGATGTGTTCAAAAAGCTTAATGTACATGAAGTACTGGAGAGGCTGGCTGTACACAGAGGAGCTGATGTACCACAGATAACAACCAACATGATCACAGCTAAACTCCATCACTAAGGCCACAGTAGCAGTTTGCTGACCAGTGAACTTTAAGTTATCAGCAGAACGTATGAAACACTGTGTTCCTTAATTCAGTTCTGGTCCACTAACTAACATCTAAAGGAATAAAGACTCTGAGTGAGAAAGACTGACTTACTGGTGTTGGAGTGACTCAGATGGGTTTGTGGTGCTCTGAGCTGATAGCGTTCTAGCTAAGACAGCACTTACAGCAGGAGTTTACACTAAGAGTGGCTCAGTCCCCAAACCTTACACAGCTGAACGTAACAGGACACTGAAACTGCATTAGCTGTACCTCACCTGCTTTTCCATCGGGAAATACGTAGTGTTTACATTAGATTTTATTCCCACTGGAATCAGATGTTTTTATTCAACATAATACTGCTGTCTTACTGACTACTTTGAATCTTATGCAGCAGGTAATCAGTTCTTATATGCTACAAACACAATCAGGCATAACATTATGAGCACCTCCTTGTTTCTGCGCTCATTGCCCATCTTATCAGCTCCACTTACTATATAGGTGCACTTTGTAGTTCTACAATTACAGACTGTAGTCCATCTGTTTCTCTGATACTTTGTTACCCTGTTCTTCAGTGGTCAGGACCCCAAGGACCCTCACAGAGCAGGTACTATTTGGGTGGTGGATCATTCTCAGCACTGACGTGGTGGTGGTGTGTTAGTGTGTGTTGCGCTGGTCTGAGTGGATCAGACACAGCAGTGCTGCTGGAATTTTTAAACACCTCAGTGTCACTGCTGGACTGAGAATAGTCCACCAACCAAAAATATCCAGCCAACAGCGTCCTGTGGGCAGCGTCCTGTAAGCACTGATGAAGGTCTAGAGGATGACCAACACAAACTGTGCAGCAGCAGATGAGCTATCATCTCTGACTTTACATCTACAAGGTGGACTGACAAGGTAGGAGTGTCTAATAGAGTGGACAGTGAGTGGACACAGTGTTTAAAAATTCCAGCAGCACTGCTGTGTCTGATCCACTCATACCAGCACAACACACACTAACACACCACCACCACATCAGTGTTACTGCAGTGCTGAGAATGATCCATCACCCAAATAGTACCTGCTCTGTGAGGGTCCATGGGGGTCCTGACCACTGAAGAACAGGGTAAAAGGGGGCTAACAAAGTATCAGAGAAACAGATGGACTACAGTCTGTAACTGTAGAACTACAAAGTGCACCTATATAGTAAGTGGAGCTGATAAAATGGACAATGAGTGCAGAAACAAGGAGGCAGTCATAATGTTATGCCTGACCGGTGTATCTTTCAAAGGGAAGAAGTCAAAGGATAGTTTGTTGGTTGCTCACTGCAGCAATGCGAGATCATAAAGCCCAAGGAACGTTATTAATTTGGTAAAGAATGGATTTGGAAAATAATGAGATTTCAGTGGGGGCTGAGATGAATAACAGGGTCTTGCGTCACAACCAGCTCAGCTCTTCTGTACTAGTTAGACCTTCTCTGGTTAGTGTGCTGCGGCCTCACACTGACCGGCTGACGGACAAAATCTGGGTACAAGTTGAAGGTGTGGAAAAAAGATTACTGCTGTAAAAGTAGCATTAAATTCATACCCTGGACGGTCACTGTGTAGATATGAATGACCTCTTCATTCCTTTTGTCCATTACAGTATAAACTCCACTATCAGACAGAGTCACTGCTCTCAGCTCAAGAACAGATGTTAGTGATGCTCTCTGTTTATATGAATCTCTACACTGTGTTGATCGTCCATCCACTGTACAGATCTGACCACTGGATTGATTAGCTGCACCTGTGCTGTTATAAATCACCTCCACTGGATCTGATACGTCCAACATCAGCACCAGAGAGTCACCAGGTTTTATCTGAAGTGGTGTTATCAAGGCTGAGAAGAAAAACAGGAACATCAATTTAACAACTGAGTGCACAGTGTTACACCCACATCACTGGATTCGGTCTGCAGAGTTCACGCTAGAAAACAGCTGGACACTTACGCTCAACCTGAAGACGCACATCACAGACATCTTTACCATCACAGTCACACGTGTACCAGCCTCTCTTAGTGAAATCAGCATCAGTGATGGTGAGAGAGAGATTCCCCTTCAGGTACTGATCATGGATCATCTGATATCCCTCCTTTGATCTGCATGAAGTCTGATCACACTCAGCCAGAGCATCAGTGGGTTTAGTGAACACAGTCCATCTGACCAAACCAGAGCATCTCTCAGAGCAGGGCAGAGTAGCAGAGTCATGAAGCTTCACCTTCACTGGAGCAGCAGCTGATTCAGTCACTGAAAGAGGGATTAAGAAATATAAACAATGTGTTAAAGGTAGTGATGTGTCAATCCACACTTTTTCAGTTCCGATCTGATTCTGATACACAACTGCTGACACTGACGCAGATTCCGATACGCTCCCTTAAGAGCTCTGTTTACTTTACTAATATCATACCATTGTTGGTTTTGTGTTTCAGGTTACATCACCAGGCTGAAATAGACAACACAGCACTTCTTATTAGAAGAGCAAAACTATACACAAAGACATTGAATTTAAATGCATTCCAATGGAATTTATTCATGTTGAACTTCACATATAAACAGGTGGCAACAACAGCTGTAATGTGAAATTAAACATATGAAATGCAAAATGGAAATAAACATCTTAAATATCAAAAGCCTTTCTAGAACGTTAAACACAAACAATAAGCTTGGCTGCATCATGTGAACAGGTCAAGTATTGGGACAATCTTTAAAATAAAATAAAGAACAGGATGTCAGATAGCTGGGCTCTAAATGCTCCAACAGGCTGCGACAATCTCACATTTTCCACCATGATGCTGGAGAGCATCAGTGAGAGTCACTGCCTGGTGGTGTCTTCCTGTCTGTTAACGTGAACTCCTGGTACTCTTTGACGTGAAGCCTCTGCAGGTGATTAAACTGGTTGTATTGTCTGATGCAGCCACACTTCCACCCCTCAACACACTGGCTTTACATACATTACAAGTAGCGGTTTTACTTTCCGGCATTTCCAGACTTAAATATCTCCAAACACAACAACATTTTAGACCAACAGCTGATGTTATTTGTTATTTTAGACCAACAGCTGATGTTATTTGTTATTTGCAGACCAACAGCTGATGTTATTTGCTCACTAACTTACAGGCTGAAATTGCTGCAGGTTCATGATAAAATGTGGAACATAATCCGGATCGGTGACGCGTCTCACGTTACATTACATCACGTTGTAATGCATTACGGTGGGTTCATGGTCCAGCACAAGCTGCAGACTGGAATATGGATCAGTAAGTGGATTGGCCCCATCCGTCCGATAACCAATGAATGAAAGATGTCAATATCTGACCCGATACTGATACAGGATCGGATTGGACCCATGTCTACTCATTTACTCCAACAACTACTTCATTTTAAGTAGGTTACTCAGTACGGTGTTGGGCTCAGTATCGCCAAATACTGAAAAACATGTACTCAGCCTGGAAAAATGGTATCTTTGTATCCCCAGTTTCAGTGTTTTAAAATATAATAACATAGTTTTAGAATGAAGCTTAGAGAATTACCAACACGCCAAACAATGAACCTTAGAAACCAAAGGTGAACGTAAAATGTTTAAGATGATTAAGAAGTGCAGGACTTACCAACAGTGAATGTAGTGGTCAGTAACATCAGGACACAGAGAGCAGAACTGCAGGGCTGCATGACTGACCGACACAAAAACACTATTAGCACTGACAAGAAGAGGAGAGCGAAACTGTAATGCAAATTACAAATGCAAAGTACTGAAGCAGAAACAGAGAGCTGTTCTACACCTGCAGCACTTTCCACCAGCTCTGCTGTCATCCACCAGCTAAACCACTGATGATGGTTTCTTACTTTGTTTTATTAGTTATCACGTCTGGTTCTCGTAGGCTCTGTTTGGAGAAGAAAAACAGTTACCAGTGCCCTCCTCATTATTCACAGGACGATACACTGTTTTTTTTCTTTTTAACAAAATTTTCCAAACAAAATTCTGTCTAGTCAATCATATTAATAAGGAAACAGAAAGTATTCAGTGTCACGCCTCAGGAGGACTCAGACTACATTTCCCACAATACATTAGGAGATCATGTGACTGAGCAACTTCCCTCTGAGGCAGAGTCCAGGAGGGACTCCATTGCCCACAATCCCTCGGGAGGTCATATGACTTTGGATGGTTGTGCACGCACCTATCAGCGCTCACATTCACCGGAGTACTAAATACATTCACCTGTGTTTATTGTCATATGACCCACCTAGTATAGTTTATAAGCCCGGGCTTTAGTCTTAGTCGTTTGTTGAACTTGAATAAAGCTCTGTGTACATTTTTTATCCGCGAGCGTCTGAATTCTGTTGCATCGTCACATTCAGTCCCTGAGTGGAGCTGCAGGACTGGACGACTCATCTACAGAGACAAAAACACACCGAGGGAAGAGGAGAGACAGAGGAGGATAATTACAAACTGCCTATAATAAAAACTTCCTCTAGCTGGATTCTCTAGTTAGCTCTGACCAGCAGCAGAGGGGTTCAGGATATTTGAAGGATTTTTAGCTTGACTTTTAGCCCGAGCTGATTCTGTGCCGTCAAATATCCACTTATGTCACGTCTAAGAATTGTTCAAAGCAGCAGTTAGTTTTATTAATGACGTCTAACGTAAGCTTGATGTCAATGTTGAGCCTGACTGTTCTTCTGTTTCTGTTATCTGTTGAACCTGTTATCATTTGGGAAAGGACTGTGGTGTCGGAGCTCCTAGGCCTGGTTAATTATTCAGTACCAGGTATTTAGCCTTTGGTTACGGGGGCTTCTGATGGGCAGGATGGCATTCTTAGGTAAAGAGTGTGAGCCTAGCATTAAACAGGTAGCCTATCCATTACTGCATATGTATACTGTCAGTTATAGTTCTTAAAAAGAAAGAAAATCAGAATCAGCCAATGGGCAAGTCTGACTTTAGCAGTACAAAACAGCACAAAACACTATATTTGATGTTGTATGAACTTAATGAAGTTCATGAAGCATGAACTTTATTTTTTTTGTTAATATACGCTCATTCCAAATTTGATGCCTCCAACACATTCCAAAAAAGTTGGGGCAGGATCATATTTACCACTGTGTTAGATCACCTTTCCTTTTAGCAGCACTAAATAATAGTTTGGGGACTGAAAACACAAACTGATCCAGTTTTGAAAGCAGTATTTTTGTGTCATTCTTCTGTTATATAAGTCCTCAGCTGAGCACCCACAGGGCCTTTGTTGTCATACTGCAAGATTAATAATGTGACACATATTAGTGGGTGCTCAGTCTAACACTTAAACTCTCTGACTATGCAGCCATGTTGCTGCAACATACAGAGTGTGGCTTGATATTGTCATGTAGAAATAAACATGGATGTCTCTGAAAAAGACAGTGTTTGTTTTTCTTCTTTGGCCTGGAGAACATGACTTCCATTATTTCCATAAACAATCTGAAAGGTTGACTCAGATGACCACACACGTTTCCACAGAGCATCAGTCCTTTTCAGATAAGCTCGAGTCCAGAGAAGTCGGCGGCGTTTCTGGACGTTGTTGATATATGACTTCCACTGTGTGTAGTACAGCTTTAATTTGCGTTTGTGGATGCAGCGACAAACAGTGTTTATTGACAAAGGTTTGTCAAAGTATTCCTGAGCCCATGTGGTGATCTCATCACAGAAACATGATGGTTTTAGTGCAGTGCTGTCTGAGAGGTTGAAGATCACAGGCATTCATATGTGGTTTTTTGGCCTTTTCCTTTACGCACAGAGATTTTTCTAGATTCCCTGAATGATGTTATGCAATGTAAAGAGTGAAACTCCTAAAATCCTTGCAATACTTGGCTGAGGAACATTATTTTTTAACCTTTTTGCTAATGCATTTTTGGCAAAGTGGCGAGCCTTGACCCATCCTTGCTCATGAAGAATCCAGCTTTTTATGGATGCTCCTTTTACATCTAAGCATGATTCCCTCACCTGTTAAGAAAGTTTTTTTTTTTACTTTTTATTTTTAGTATTTTTTTTTTTTCCTCTGTTGCAACTTGCCAGATATGAGGGGGAAAAAATATTGTGACATATATCATGGAAATATCATAATACTTAATGAAATGTATATTTGTCATATTGCCCTGGAATAGTATGAGGTTTAGTAGGTATAGTGTGGAATTGTAAAATTGAACAAAAGAAAGGATCAGAGAATGTAAAGGAAGTAATGGATCTCAAAAAAGATCTCAGTGTGGAACGCGGGTTACTACCATTGTACTAATGCAATTTTATCAAAACACGACAGATGGATGCCGACACAAAACACAGCACATGGATTCCTGGTTATATGACTCATGATTGAACAAATGTAAAGTTTTTGCTCTCTGAGTCACAATCGAATCAAAATCAAGCACAGAATGCCAGATGAGCATATCTCGCTGTGTGTAAGTGGGTATACGGTAAGGTAGGTATATGCTCTAAGTGGGTATACGGTAAGGTATACGCTCTAAGTGGGTATACGCTCTAAGTGGGTATACGGTCTGAGTGGGTATACGCTCTAAGTGGGTATACGGTCTGAGTGGGTATACGGTCTAAGGTAGTGCTCTTGTTGTTTTTCTTTGGTACGAGTTGATCTGGAGAGTGTTGGGAGGGGGGCGATGTTTGATTGGCTGTAGCCAATACGGCTTTGATGATGAATTGCCTGAGGAACCTGTACTGTCTGGCAGTGAGTGTTAAAAATATCTATTTAGAGTGGTCTCTCTGCTCATTTCTCTCTCTGTCTTTGTCTCTCTTTCTCATTTCCAGCAAGAGGAGTCTGTCAAAATATACCTTAGGGATTCTCTGGTGGCTCTACCTACCATTGTTGGTGAAAACATCAAAGATCCTGTTCACTACCACCCAGTGAAAATGTCCGTTGTCCTGGATTGATGTGGTAACCCACTTCTGCAGGCTTGCAGATGCTTTTCTGGTAATGTTTGGTCTGATCTATGCTCTTCACCTGACTTATCCTAAAGGACTGACCAACACTCTTGAATTTGTCCAGAATATTTTACTTGGATGGAGGATGGGAAATTGTCACCTATGTTACAGACCCTTAAGAATGATCTGATGATCTACGCAGTTAGAACTCTTTCCTCTCCTTGTTGCGACATCATTAATGGTGTCTCCTGCTCAGAGGTCTCTGTGTTTGTTTTATTATCCCTTGGTTAATAAGCTAATGCTGTTTTTCAGTAGGCTCTTGTGAAAGACTTGTTTGTCAACATTGGTAAATCTTAGCCTTTTTGTTTCTATTTTTTTTTCTTTATAATGTAGTCACCCATGGGTCAGGTTACTGAGAAGCTCTGTGTGGCCACAAAAATCAGATGACTAAGCTAACTGTGTCCTGAAGATCCTTTGTGGGTTACATTAATTTCATTGATTGATCTTGTCCCCTCCTGCACTATGCAATGCTGTGTAAAATTTATGTTTGGAAAACATCTAAAATTAGCTGTGAGAACTTGTTCATTAGTTCATAAATACATTTCTTTGTATAAATACGTTTTGTCAACATTACATATTTAGTTAATATTAAGTACTTAGTTGTGCTGCGTAACAGAAATACATATTTTCAGTAGTACACACTTGAAATAATTGTGTGTGTGTGACTCAAAAACTACAAGCTGTGCATACTACTGACAGTTGAGTTTATAAACTTAAAAATGTTAAGACTGATTGCCTTTTTAAGGCTGTGCTAACTTGTTTGGGTTTACAGTCTATCAAATTCACTGAAGAGGCAGGAATGCTGTGCTCATGAACGTCCACAAGGTGGCAGTGTAACACTATAAATAACTGCAATGAAGGTATTACTCTTTGAATTATTTGAAGGTGTTAACAGTGCACAGTGCTCATATATAATAATAATAATAATAATAATAATGTAAGTGTATCAGATTGGAATTTGCACATGCTGCCACATGGCTAATCTCTGGATATAAGTTACTACAAATAAACAGCAGCCGGTACCAGCTGTGAAAAAGACCAGTGAAATAAATGCAAAGATTTCTTCAAATGTGGCTGCTAAAGAAAACTGCTGCTCCCTCTGTTGTATTTTTCAGCACAGAAACTGGAATCAAGGTAAGAAACACCTGTGAGTGAAATAAATTAGCCCTCGTTAGCCACCGTGCATATATCACTGTTAGCCATTAGCTGGCAGACTGTCTAACAGCCACACAATAAAATAACAATTGACCCTGCTAACAAAAGCTGCTGCTGGCATTAGCCATGTTGAACAGCTGTATCTACAGGCTAATAACAGCAAAAGCATGTTAGCTCACGCGCATTGATCTCAGTTGAGAATGCGGTTTTGAGAGGAAACACAGAAGTGATCCTGGAGTAAAAGTTTATACTAAAAGTACCAAAACTTTATAACAAAATTATCACAAAACAATGTCTCAGGTATCAAGCAACACATTCATAACCATTTTGTGTAATAACTTGAGCCACAAAATACTTTGGACGTCTGGTTCCTAGTACTGTAATGGTGAAGAATTCTGACTCGGTAAATTTCTCCAGAAAGGTGCATTTTGTACCAAACCACTCTGAATGATTCTGTTTACACCTACATCATTGTATGAGTAAGTATTTAAAAAAAAACATTGGAGTTCCCCTTTAACATCACAAAATCACAACACTGATAACAAACAATCATCACTGCTGTATGGAATGTC